TGATATTAGTGCAAAATAATTTAATGTTATTCCCAGAGCTATGAAGAAATTGAAATCATTTTTTTTAAACTGTTTCATCCCAAGCAAGGTGATAATGCCACCATGATGCAGAGGGTTACAGGAAGTGAAAGAGAATGACAAAACTTTAGTGAGAAGAAGTGAAGAAAAGACTGTGTTGTTTAAATGTGAGACATTGGGTCACAAAATTGATAAAAGCATAAACAAAACAATAGGAAACTAAATGAAATCGGCTAGACTGTATACCAAAAACTCATTTAAAAAATAAAAATTTAAATTTAAAAATTCAGTATTCCTCTCCATCATGTGTGTGTGTGGTTGCATCAGAATGCGCATCACTTTGGTCTCATGGGGTCTTGAGAAATAAGCCATGTCAGACAGAAACCTTTTCTACTTTGTCAAAGGTATTCTTTTAATTATTTGCCCCCAAATAAAATGATAATCCTACTTAGATGCAGGGAGGGAAAGAGATTGAAAAAAGAGAAGTGAAGAAAAGCACAATAAAGGAACAGGTTTGAGGAAGACAGAAGATGGTGATTGGCATTGCATTTAAGTTTTTGAAGATTGTAGGTGGCAGGGAAGCATGAAATCAGAAGTGAGTTCCACAGGTGAGAAGTGCAAGAAAAGAAATCATGAAACTAGTTGTAGCAGTCACATGTAGTGAATTCAACAGTAAAATGGTGGGATTTAGATGCCAATCTAATAACATGTTTAATTCATCTAGTCAAGGTACTAAGGAAAAAAACTCATCAAAACAATTGCCATGAAAATATTTGCAGAAAAGACAGAGGGAAGCCCTGATGAGAAAGTTACTAAAGTTGAGATGTCAGGTCAGGATCTATAAACACTTCTTTGAATTTTGGCAAGAATCTTGAGATATATAACAAGAATACTAGACTAGATATGGCAGTAGTATTCACTGCACAGCAGAATGGTAGATTTCTAAATATGCAAGAGGGATTCTGATGAGAAAAATTTTCTGGCACAACACAGTGACAAATTTCATGGCAATAGATGTAGCAATTGATTCAATAAAGTTGTTTCATATCAATGGAAAATGTGAGCCTATGAAAGTGTAGAGTATTGCTTTCCTGGAGTTTAACATCAGCCATGCTGATGGCAGGCAGAAAAGATTTTTTATGATGATTAAATAAAAGCAGTTTTATTATGGAGGTGTTCAAATTTACAAGCTATTTCTTGCCCCATGAGATAGTCAAGTCATAATCTGAAAGATAACAATTTTTTTACTCATCCCAATTCAAACATTTCTCCTTTAAGTTAGACACTATTTTTAAACATATATATAATAGTTGTAATTCTGAATCTAAGTTTCATTTCTTTTTACTAATGAAGGAATTTGCCTTCTTATATTGAGATTTTCAAAAACCATTCATAATCATTCTGTCTGTGAAACAACTTTGTAAATCAACTCAGAAATGAGGAACAGACATGGAATGTTTACTTTTTACATAAATTACTAAATTCCATCTCTGATGCTTTTGACTTTGATCCCATTCACCACTCTAAGACTAGGAAATCTGCCAAAATTCTTTTTAATATTTGCACTAAACTTTTAAATTGTACTAAATTTCAAGCACTAATTTTCTTCTGCAATAACATTAATTACATGCCAGTCAGATGGCATTGTGGTTACCATAGAGAAATAATGATCAGAATTCAAGCTAAGACTGTTTTAATTTAAATTACTTTCCTGAGAAAAGGCATAAACCCACACTCCCTATGCTGTGCCATCACCAGATTTCATGACAAGGATCTCAACAATAACACACTGTAATGCTTAACAGTGAAGTCAGTTTGAGCATTGCTTACACTACTACCTTTGGCATTTTGAGAGGAGATTAACACTGTCAAATAACATTCTATGACACCTCAGATGAACAAATGTCTATCTCAGCATGTGTATGTTACTGGGTCAACAATTGCTCCATGACATTACATTCATGATTTTATAAACTGGGTATGAATTTAAGTTGAGCAAATTTACATATTCACCTCTGCAATTTAAATATAACGTAACCATAAGTTTGATGCTAACAATTTTTTTTTCACATTTCTTTCTTGTGTAACTCTCTTCCGGCTTCTTGTTTTCCAGTCAACTTTGATCTTCAAAAATTTAAATATGATGTCAGATATTATCTTCTGTACTCTTAAATTCTGTTCTTGTATTGTTCCTGCTCATTAATAATGTTTTTCTTATATTCTTTCACACTGAATACCCTCCCGGCCATGTGTTAGTGGCCCATTTGCCTTGTTTGGGGTGAAATGATTAGAAAAAAAAAAGAAATGGTAAATTAATTAGCTTGAAAATGTTATGGATATTGACAATTAAGATTTCCCATTCTATCATTTTTGTATGCCGAATTGAATCATCCACATTTCTTTTGTATTCCTCAGGTAAGAAAAAAGTTCTTAGAAAGCTTCTTCATCTGATGCTTGCCTGGTGATAATTTTAACCTTTTTAAGTCTGGAGTTTAGCATCATCTATATCCTTATATCTACATTGCTTCCCCCTTTTTATGTACTTACAACAAAACCTCATTCAGAACAATTCTACCTGGAGTGGCTTTTGAGTTTAGTATTGGGTGAATATTTAATGAAAAAAATGCCACCACTATTCCCTCACCATTTTTATATATCTTCTCATTCTCTCCCTTATCCCTTATAGTTTCCATTGTTTGTCCTGGTTTTTAGCTAAATGTTATACAGAAATGGATTATTGTATGATTAAAAAGAATATGTAAATGCACAATCATTTTCTACTGCATCATTTTTTTTAAAAAAAAAACAACTTTTTCTCAGAATCTGAATAAAGAATTTTAATGCATCACAATATTTATACCTTTTCATTGCTAATTTTCAATGCTTTGCTTAATGTCTCTTCATATCCAGCGAACAAGTCTCTTTCTTTTTTTTTCATCTCATCACTTCTCCCTCTCTATGTCTTTCCTTTCATCACCCGCTCTTCCCACTATATCTTTCTTTCATCTCAACACTTCTCCCCCCCCTCTCTCTCTCCTTTTATCACCTGCCATTCCTACTCTCTGTATCTTTCTTTAATCTCATCACTTCTCTCTCTATGTCTTTCCTTTCATCACCTGCTCTTACCACACTCTGTTTTTTTTATCATCTCATCACTTTTTCACTGTATATTTTTACCTTTCACATAGTTTTGTTTACATTTCTCTTACTTTCTTCCTCTTCCTCTTTGTCCTCATTTTTCCCAATTCCTTCCTTAAAATTGTAAGATAGACATTTTGATTAAGTGATTCTTGTTTAGAAGAGCTCATCATTTGATCATAAGTAGAAAAGTGTAATCATCTTACAGATGCATAAGCTGAATAATAGTATAGATTCAAATATTTTATTCCATCAGAAAGAAAATATATCTCATATTTTTAAACGGTGTCTCATACATTAATACATTTGTAAGAAGTCTGTGTTTATTTTGAGAGGAATCTGTATTGTAATTTATCAGGTTTAACATATAAAATATTTAAATTTCTCAAGTTTGTTCAGAGATCATCTCAGCTCTAGAAGCAAATGCTTGGTTAAGATTCAATTTTTGTTATGTTTTTACATTGTTTTCCAAAAGTCATTCTTCCATTATCTGGAGAGAAGTGACAAACCAAAAAACAATAAGGAACATGAATATCTACATCTACAAATTTCTCATAACTTGTTTCTGATATCTTCTGTTTGAGAGAAATTTTAATCTGTCTTTTCTGGTAAATAAAGCTTGTATTAGCTTACTTCTTATGGTCAGCGAGATGTTTTCAAAACCTTATTATGTAAAGAGAATAAAAGAAACTAAGACAAAAAATTAAAGTCAATGAGAAATAAAGAATAAAATAAAATTTACAATAATCTTTACAAACAGTTACTGTTATAATCTGATTCAAATTTCTGATTCACTCTACATCAAAACCTGTCAGCCAGATGTAAACACTAGGAAAGCAAAATTAAAAATAAAAGAATTGCTCTCCGCACTGGAACTTCAAGCATCACATCTTACTCACAAAACAACTCCCTCCCCAAAAATATAAAATACAACTTAAAAGGAGCCAATAATGCACATGGCTGCTAAAGCAAAATCATAACCAAAAATGCAGAGTAATGTATCCACATTGAATGTTTAAAAGGATCTGTTCATGATGCTCAAGACGATTAGTTAGGCTGTCACTGGCACCACCAGTGGCTTTGGTTAACCAACCTGGCAGAAGTTTCAATGTGAAGCCTGAATCAACTCCTGATCCTCCAGGTGGCTTACCTTGACCACAAAGAGATATTCCACCCTGATCCTTTATATTGGCAATGCAAAAAATAATTATTTTAACATATCCTGGCTCCTTTTCTTTCTGCCTGGCAGTATTTTGTTGTTTTCCTTTGTTCTCATGCAACCGTACACATTATATAACAATGAAACATGGTGCCAGAAATCGTTATCACAAAATATTCTGTTTTTAACTATCCTCTCAGAAATAAAGATTTTATCTGTATACCATGAGACCTCAGACTAAGAAATCTATCAAAATTGTGTCAATTTAGTAGCCCAATGTGTCTCAGAGTCCCAGATAACATTCCCTCATTGTTGATTTTAGGTTCCCTCAATTCCTTCCCTATTTTGAATTATTATCTTATAATGTTTTCATCATTATGCCTATGGCTTATAGATATGACTGAAATACTAAAATTTCCCCAATGAAATCTGAAAATAATCCTCAGCATAGCATGTGAATGATTGAATCACTTTCTATAGCTTATCAAGCCAGAAAATATTTTTAGATTGTAATAATTTTTTTTGGAGATAATGATTCAGGAATAGAAGTTTTACTAATTCACCCATATCTGTGGGGAGAAAGGGTATTTGTGCCTAAATGAATACAATGAATCCAACTAGAATTGGTACTCATCTCTCTATTAACAATTCCAAGCCATTCCATTACACCCACTACACATCCAAGATTACAGCACCTGGTATTCCTCAAGTGATCACCCATTTAGGTACTTACCAGGCTTGACATTGCTTAACTTCAGTGATCATACAGGAACTAGTGTTTCAATATGATATGACCATAAGCCTGCAAAGCAAGTGGCTCCTATTTCAGAATTGTTGCACAGCTGCTAAATTCTTATCATCATGTTGTATAGATATTTGCTAAGTTTGCTTTAGTGTATGACACTCATCAAGAATCAAACTCATTATTGCAATAAGGGTGTGCAAGGAAGACTTGTTTAAAATTACTCCATGGCAAGATGTCCAGTTCTACCAACAAGTCATATAATTCTGTTGAAATATTTTCAGACTTTCTTCTTATATTTTGAATGCTTCAGATTCAGGAATTGTATGCTTGTTTATTTTCAGATCCATGCTTACTGGATCCTTTTAAATAAGTCTTACCCTTTCTTTAAATAACAAGTCTTCTCTCTTGTTGAAAACTGAATTTGGACTAGCAAAGTGTGCAAAGTAATTATACACTGATGTTGAAGAATACTTGAAGCATTTTGTCAAGAATTAATGACAACCACTTGCAGCTGATAAGGCCAACATTGCCTGTGATTCTTGTTGATTGACAAAAAGCCTGGCAGGGACAAAACTGTTCACTTTTAGAGTTGTGACTCACAGAACTAGCTCCAAAGAAAAGCAAAGCAAGAAGACTTAACTAGTTGCTCAGTCTACCTGTAGGCTAAGTAGCAATTCCAATCACTTAGTTAATAACTTTTACAGGCCAAGATCCATTTGAGAGATGAGGTAAAAGACAGTGCAAGAAATGGAGTTATTGAAACTGGTAACTTAAAGGTTGCTGAATAGCAGAGGACATTTTTACTTTTATTTGCTTGACTTTTTGGCTCTGCCACTTTCTCTGACATCAAATCAAGGCTATGCACAAAAAAAGAATATTCATTGTCTGTTTACAGTTAAGTATAACAGGTAAAAATAAATCCTGTCTACATTTATAGATTTAAGATGTCAAGAACAAGGTAAATTTATCTTGCAAAACTTAAGATAATTTAATAGAATAGATATGTACAAGTGATTTAATTTCATTAGAAAATATAGAAAACTGAAGAGAAATTATTTTAGCCAGTGGTGTTTGTCAACCATGCACGTAAAATGATAATGATAATAAAAGGAATGTCCAGTTAATACAATGATTTTAATGGTATATGATATGATTTTCTGCTTTTTGCATATGCAGTGTGTTGTAGCATACCTCTGGATGTTAATGGGTATGTCCCCATTCACATAAATACAGTAGTAGCTACTGTATGTTGGTCTGCAGTTGGAGATTCATTGTGGAATTCATCTGATTCACTTCTAGCAGTTGACTACTTCTACACACTGCTGGCGAATCTTAAATGCGCTGTTTTTGTCCTAAGTATTATCGTTCATTACCAACCTTCGTTTGATTATTCTATTCAGTAACCTTCCCTAGGTTACAGCACAGTGAGAAGCAGCAGCATTGTAATTTTATTTGTCTTTTTTTCTTTAGGGTTCTGTTTTAACTGTGCTGTATGGTTTTTGCTATGATCTAGGAACATTCAGAAGTGATGAACATAATATTTCTGCAAGGCAAAATGATTGAGAAGAAGATTTAGTGACATTATGAACTGTCTTTTTTCTAAAATTCTCTCACTAAATAAAAATATGGAAAACTTGATTTATGCGATCAAAATTGATTTCACACATCACCTCAGCTTTTTAAAAAGGAGTAGAAGTTTTCTCTTGTTTCCGGTTTAGGATTGGGTGCCTGGTTCCTTCGAAAATCTACTTCAACTCTATACTTTTAATGTCTCCATTTGAACTCTGAAATTTTATTTGCTAATTATTTATTTATGTCTTTTCTCCTCAATAAGAATAGATAGGTTTTCCTATTGTCCAGTTCACACTCTTCCCATGTCTTTTGAACAGGAGTAGATGTTTATCTGTTGTTTTTTGTTTAGGATTTGGTTTCCAGTTGCTTCTAAAGTCTTTTCATTCTCCTTTACTCCCAGTAGCCCATTACTATGTCTTAGTAACATTATTGCCTTGCTTGTGATGAAATGTTTAATATATATATATATATATATATATATATAACAATGATAATTCCTCATCTAAAAGTTTCTAAATACATTTAGCTCAGAAAAATATTTATATTTATTTCAATGAAATAAAAAATATTTCAATTTAGTTAAATGAAGATTTTGTATGAAGCAGTAGTGAATAATGACTATTGGTAAATGAATAATATTTTATTTGGAAGATTATGCAGCTCCATTAATAAGAGAAATAATAAAATGCTTGCCATGAAATTTGGCATTCAAAAACTGAACTTTGGGTATGATAAATAGGAAAATACTTTATCCTGATGTTTTCACCCGAACAATAATATTTTTTGAAATTCATCTGGTCTGGATCAAAGCAACACTTATAAAGTCTCTATGATAAATTATGCTCAATATGACATACTTTCAAAATCACTGCATTGAAAATGGAGGACTTAAATTCAAACTATGATAAGGAACATTAATATTAGTAAGGCAGTAAAATAACTACTCTCAAAATTCATTAATAGTAAGTTTGATTCTTGCTTATTGCTAAAGAAATGTGACTTTAATAATGCTGACTTAGGTAAACAAATAACTATGGCATAATAATTTGAAGTAAAATATATTGTCAGTAACAAGAGGAAAGTTAGAATAATCGTATGCAATCCACCCACACTTTGACTGAATAAGTGGAATTCCTAAAGTAAAGCAACATTCAGACCAAAAATGGGTGTCTTTTCAGATGAAGAAAATTAACATGGAGTTTATTTCTACATGGCAAAAATGATTGGGTATTTGAATAAAATTCATAAGGAGAAATATGTTAGCAAAAGTCTTCATTGAGAGACAGAAGAACCATAATCAGCAGAATTCTTTTACAATATGGCGTTTATAAAATTTAGAACCTTGGCCTTGTAAAGAATGTACATATTTCATGTTTAATAAGTTTGGTAAATGAATGCGTACGTTTGTCACCAAATTCAGAATATTGGTTTTGAAATATTCTAGGTTTAAAGTCAGTTCTTGTGAATGTCTTCTTTTTCTATATGCCATGTTACTTCAGGCCATGGACAATCATGGCCCCCCACAACTTCCCCTTCCTTGTGGCCCTTAGAAATTTTTCTATTTTTGCTAAGGCTTTCTGCCATCTATTCACACAAGCTTGTCAGGTAGGTAGCTTGTTGTTTTTTCCATTTCTTGTGCCCTCAGTATTCCCTGGCAGGGTTAAATTTTCCATTTCTTCTTTCCTTATTATGAGTCCAAGGAATTTCAGCCCTCTTCTTGATTCTGAGAATAATCCTACTTTTTGCTACCCTTTTTCTTTAAGACATCCTTGTTTCATTCTCCATCTGTCCATGGAATCCTCAGTATCCTTCTTTGGAATCAAATTTCTGCTGCTTCCAGTTTTTTCCTCATCCCTAGGAAGAATTCATTGCCATATAAGAGGATGTATATCGTATAGCAATCTAGAACTCTCTTCTTTGTTTCTATTTAAATGTTTCTGTTTTTTAGCATTTTACTTAGCATTGGAAACGCCTCTTTTCTTCATTCAATATCTGTTCAGATTTCAGTATCACATTTTTTTTATTCACTTGCCAGATATTTAATCTTCACTACTTGCACATGATCACATTTCCAATGTGTGACTCACATCTTTGAGCTTTTCCTCAACCATACATTTTGATGACCATACTTTCTCTTTTCTTGCAGTTGATGGTTAAGTCCTCATCCTTTGTTCTTGCCTTCTACTATCCACCTGTTTAGGAGGTCCTGTAGTTTTCTTTCCATGACAACCATCAACACAGTGTCATTTGTGTATCTTAACTATCCATAAAATCTGTATGAATGGTTTTAATCAGTTAATAAATGTTAGTAATAATTCTATTCAACAAGCATAAAACTTACAGAATTCAGAATGATCAATTTTACAAATTTTAGTTTATTCCTTAAATATGTTTATTAATTTGATTTCATTAAACAGGTTTTGTTCTATTATTAAAACCTGTGTTATTCAATAAACACCTGAACGGGGCGGGGGAGGAATCACAAAATAAGTGGTTAAGGAACCTGATGAAAATTTAAGAAATTGATTAATCAATAGAAAATAAGAGAGCATCTGGAAATGAAGAAAAATAGATTCACAGATATGCAAGTGAAATAAGCTAGTTGAGCCAGAAAATGCAAATGGCAATGGCATGTTGATTTATCCTGGTAAAAAAAAAAAATGTAAATATAAAAAAAAAACAAGAAAGTGAGGCCTCAGAAAATGGAAAAAGTCTGTAAACAAGTTGACATCTTGAATTTGGTGAACTTTGTATACAGAACACAGTTATTTATTTTTAAATAAGAATTTATAGAAGAAGCCTAATGAAAATGATGCAAACAGTAAAGAGGCAAAAGACATGTTGATACACACACACATATATATATATATATATATATATATGTGTGTGTGTGTGTGTGTGTGAACCTTTCATTTACCTTCATTATATATAAATGAATTGATATTGTATATTTGAGCAGAAACCTCTTTATGCATGTTTCAATGAATTTGGCAGAAAAGGAAAATTTTCTATTTTTTTTATTCAATTTTCTAGTGTTCATACAATTTTCCTCTTATGAGGATAATATATATATATATTTTATTTATATATCTTGGACCAACCTTAATTGTTTTATGACCCTTCGTGCAGAACTCTTCATTGCCAATTCAAGAAAGACATTCAGATTACTAACACAAAAACAGAGAATGTCTCATATCAAGAATATTTAACATTGAAAAACATAAGGAAAAAATTAATTATTTTTAATAATATGTGGAAATCTCTGTTTTTACCTGAAGACAGTCACGAGACCAGAAACATGTGTAGTAAAATTATGGAAAATAAAGCATAATATTTTTTTCTAAAAAAATCCACATTACAACTAAAAACGTTTGTGGCACCTCTCTTCTCTATTTTTAATATACATACTTTTCTCTCGTTGGAACCACTACAACCTCTTTCTTTTATATATATATATATAATAATAATAATAATATTTTTAT